AAGCTATTTTCTACAATTCCTTCTTGAGTGGGTTGTCTAAAATTAATATTATAATGTTTTGTAAAGCCTATAAAAGGCTAATCTTGTATCGAGAGTATTGCATCAATTTTAGATTGAAATATATTGAGCAGAAACTCTCTCTTCCTCTCTCTCGTTTCCGCTGTAACTGTGAGTATTTTTTTTTATAAAATTATGTCCCACTGATATCAAATTGGTATCAGAGCTGGTTAGATCTAGCATCGATTTTATGAGTTTGTGAGAGAGTTAGTGAAAATTAAAAAAAAATATTGAGTGTGTGAGGAACAAAAGGGTTCTCACTTTATCAAAAAAAAAATTAGAATCTATTTGAGAGAGAAAGATGGCTACAAACTATAATATTGTTTGGTCCGGTCCTAAACTAGATGGGAAACTAGATTACAATTATTGGGCATTGTTGATGTCCACCCATTTGAAAGTTAACAATATTTGGAGCTTTATTGAACCTGGTTTACAACAAGGAGCTGATAATGATGCAACTCAAAGAAGGGACGAGTTGGTGCTATCACAAATTCACCAAGGTGTAGATTATTCAAGTTTTGGAAAAATAGCAAATGCCAAAACAGCCAAAGAAGCGTGAGACATTTTGAAGTTGTCTAGATCAGAAACCGTGGAACAATATTTTTCACGGGTAACAAATCTTGTCAATAAGATAAAAGTGTATGGAGAAGACATCCCTGAAAGCAAGGTGGTAGAGAAAATTCTATGCACAATGCCGATGAAATTTGACCATGTGGTGACTACAATAATTGAATCCCACAATACAGATATCATGACGGTTGCAGAATTACAAGGTAGCATTGAAAGCCATGTGAGCAGAATCTTGGAGAAAACTGAAAAAGCAAATGAAGAAGCCTTGAAAAGCCAGGTGAATTTTACAAACATAGTAGAATCCAACCGAAGTGAAGATGGTAGAGGTCGTGAAAATGGAAATATAAATTTCAGAGGTAGAGGTCGTGACAACTTCAGAGGAAGAGGTTGTTGTAATTTCAATCAACAATGGAGAGACAACAATTTCAGACCACCTAATCAAGGAAGAGGTGGACACAATGTCAGATCTATCAACCGTGAAAGAGGAAGAGGCAACTTCACCTACCAGGAGAGGAAAAATTTCAATTGCTACCACTATGGAAAGTTCGGGCACAGAGTTGTAGATTGTAGATTCAAACAACAGGAAAATATAGCAGAAAATCAATATCAACATACTGGTGAGAATTCTGATAATCCATAAACCTTACTTCTCGCAGCAAACAATTTTTTAAGCGATGGAGATATTTGGTACCTAGATACTAGTTGTAGCAACCACATGTGTGGGAAAAAGGAGTTATTTTTCTCACTAGATGAAATGGTAAAATTTACCGTGAAATTTGGAAATAACTTAAACATTCCAATTTTGGGAAAATGTCGAGTTGCAATTAGATTGAAGGACGGTTCTCAAAATTTCATTTCTGATGTTTTCTATGCTCATGGTCTTCATCATAACCTGTTGAGCATGGGACAATTATCAGAGAAAGGCTACAACATGCAGATCCATGATGGCCACTGTACGTTGATTGACAAAAATAGGAGATTCATTGTCAGGGTAAAAATGACTCCTAATCGCCTATTCCCTTTGAAAGTTCAACATGATAAAATTCCTTGCTTGAGTTCCATTATACAAAATGATGATTGGTTGTGGCACATGCGCTTTGGACATTATCACTTTTCTGGATTAAATTTTTTATCTAAAAAAGAGTATGTATTTGGTCTGCCTGTTATAAACATTCCTGAAGGTATATGTGAGACTTGTGAAATTGGAAAGAAACACGGGGAATCTTTTCCAACTGGAAAGTCCTGGAGAGCAAGAAAGCCATTGGAGATTGTGCATTCAGATTTATGCATGGTTAAGATACCAACACATCGCGGTAGCAGGTATTTCAGTACTTTTATTGATGAATTTAGAAGAAAAGCTTGGGTGTATTTATTGAAACAGAAATCAAAAGCTTATGATGCTTTTAAGTCATTTAAGGCATTTGTGAAGAAACAAAGTGGCTACAAGATTAAAGCATTGAGGATAGATAGAGGCCAAGAATACCTTGCCTATGCAGATTTCTTTGACCACCATGGAATTCAGTATCAAATGACAACCAGATACACTCCTCAACAAAATGGAGTAGCAGAAAGGAAGAACAGAATAATCATGGATATGGTGAGATGCATGCTAAAGGCAAAACAAATGCCTAGAGAATTCTGGGCAGAAGCAGTTTCTACTGCTGTGTATATTTTGAACAGGTGTCCAACAAAGAGTGTTTGTGATAAAACACCTGAAGAAGCTTGGAGTGGAAGGAATCCCTCAATCTGGCATCTCAGAGTTTTTGGGTGTATAGCATATGCCCATGTACTAGATCAACTCAGAAAAAAAGCTTGATGACAAAGGAGATAAGTGCATCTTCATTAGTTACAGCACTAACTCAAAGGCATACAAGCTTTACAATCCAGTGACAAAGAAGGTAATTATCAACAAAGATGTGACTTTTAATGAAGAAAGAATGTGGAATTGGTTTTCCAAAACCCAAAAGGAGCATGCAATAAATCCAAAAAATTATGAAGAGGAGCATAGACATGTACATTCAACACCTGATGAGCCAAAAATATCAAGCAGACCACAGAGGCAACGGAGACTACCAGCTAGATTGGAGGATTATGTTATGGGTAATGACAATGACCCATCTGATGAAGAAATTATCGATTTTTCCTTATTTGCAGATTGTGAACCTGTAACATTTGAAGAAGCTTCAAATAATAACATTGGAGAAAAGCAATGGATGAAGAAATTCATGCCATTAAGAAGAATCAAACATGGGAGCTGACAGACTTATCAGCAGACAGAAGGCCAATTGGAGTAAAGTGGGTGTACAAAACTAAGTACAAGTCCAGTGGAGAAATTGATCGTTTCAAAGCAAGGTTGGTAGCAAAAGGGTACAAACAAAAGCCAGGTATTGATTCTTTTGAGGTATTTGCTCCTGTAGCGATATTAGATACAATTTGTATGCTTATCTCTCTATCAGCTCAAAATAATTGGAAAATTCATCAAATAGATGTTAAATCTGCTTTTCTGAATGGCACTTTGGAAGAAGAAGTATATGTTGAGCAGCCTGCAGGATATGAAGTTGAAGGAAAAGAAGATAAAGTCTACAGATTGAAGAAGGCATTGTATGGCTTGAAGCAGGCACTCTGGGCGTGGTATAAGAAGATTGATTCTTACTTTGTGCGTAATGGTTTTCAGAGATTCCCGTTTGAACATACTTTGTATATCAAATCTGTTGACCCTGACAATATTCTTATTGTGTGCCTCTATGTTCATGATCTAATTTTTACTGGCAATAATCCAAAGATGATTGCAGAATTTAGGGAGGTCATGGTTAAATGTGTTTGAGATGACAGATTTGGGCCTAATGTCATATTTTTTTTGGCATTGAGGTCATTCAGCAAGATGATGGAATTTTTATATTTCAAAAGAAGTATGTTGTCGACGTTTTAAAAAAATTCAAGATGGAGAATTCAAATCAATCTCAACACCTGTTGAAGAGAAGTTGAAGTTGAAAAAGGATAGTGATGAAAAAAGAATTGATTCAACATATTACAAGAGCTTGATTGGAAGTCTCAGATATTTGACTGCTACTAGACCAGATATTATCTTTGGAGTAGGACTGCTGAGCAGATTCATGGAAGAGCCATGTGCATGTCATTTACAAGGAGCAAAGAGAATTCTCAGATATATCAAAGGTACCCTAACCGAGGGATTTTTTTATGCTAACACTAAATCTGTGAAGCTTGCTAGATATACAGATAGTGATTGGGTAGGAGATGTAGAAACAAGAAAAAGCACGTTAGGGTATACATTTAATCTAGGAACAGGAGCAATATTGTGGTCCTCAAAGAAACAACTTGTTGTCGCCCTTTCAATAGCTGAAGCATAATACATGGCAGCAGCTAGTTGTGCAACCCAGATAGTATGGTTAAGAAGAATGCTTGAAGTGATGCATCAGAAGCAAGATACTCCCACAGTGATATTTTGCATTATGCAAAAATCCACTATTTCATGGACGGTCCAAGCACATAGATATTCGGTTTCATAAAATCAGAGAACTGGTAGCTGAGAAATAAATAGCAATCGAATATTGTCCAACTGAAGAACAAGTTGCAGATATTTTTACAAAGCCACTGAAAGCTAAGTTATTTTATAAGTTAAAAAGAATGTTTGGAATGATACAAGCTTGATTTAAGGGAAGCAATGTCAGTAATTAAATCAAGCCATAGATGTTGAAAACTTGGACTGAATAGAAAAGGTTTGATAGATGTTGAAAACTTGGACTGAATAGAAAAGGTTTGATTGGACCAAAACTTCCTTATGAGAAAGCTATGTAATTTTATTGGACAGCATGAAGACAGTCATACTGGTAAAGCTAATTGTAGGCAGGACACAAAATTGTAGGAGCCATTCAATTAGCCACAAGTTGAAAAGCTATTTTCTACAATTCCTTATTGAGTGGGTTGTCTAAAATTAATATTATAATGTTTTGTAAAGCCTATAAAAGGCTAATCTTGTATCGAGAGTATTGCATCAATTTTAGATTGAAATATATTGAGCAGAAACTATTTCTTCCTCTCTCTTGTTTCCGCTGTGAGTATTTGTGATGAAATTATGTGTGAGTATTTTTTTTTTTTTTATGAAATTATGTCCCACTGATATCAACCTCTGCCTAGACTCAATGCTTTAATCTTGTAGCCACTTTATTTCTCCACAAATACCTTAAATGACTTAAAGGCATCAGATGACTTTCAATCAGTTGTATATGTTTCCTTTGGAAGTTTAGCAACAGTGGAACCAAACCAATTCAAAGAACTAGCTCTAGGACTTGATCTCCTAAATAGGCCTTTTCTTTGGGTAGTACGTCCAAGTAATGATAATAACAAGGTAAACCATGCATACCCCTGATGAGTTTCATGGATGTAAAGGTAAAATTGTCAATGGGGCACCTCAGAGGAAGATATTGGACCACCCTGCCATAGCTTGCTTCATTAGTCACTGGTTGGAATTCCACTATAGAAGGTGTATGCAGTGGCATACCTTTCTTGTGTTGCCCATTTTTTTCTGACCAATTTGTTAACAGGTCATATATTTGTGATGTGTGGAAGGTTGGACTGAAATTAGACAAGGATGAAAATGGATTAATATTGAAGGGAGAGATAAGGAAGAAGGTGGATCAACTCCTTGAGAATGAAGACATTAAAGCAAGATCACTGGAACTGAAGGAATTGTCTTTAAAGAACTCGGTGAAAGGTGGTCAATCGTCAAAGAACCTCGAAAAGTTTATTAACTGGGCCAAGTAATAATACCTTCGGCAATAGTTTGGATTAAAAGTTTACTTTCTCTGTTTTTCCTTAATTTTTATGTCTGAAAGGAAACTTCTGAATGTGTAGTATTGTTTCCCTTAATTGGTTACAACTTATAATCTTGATAAATGTCCGTCGATTCAGTTGGTTGACAACATTTTTCTGAAAACTGTATCCGACCATTCTCAAATAACAAAAAGTTAAACTCACCAAATTTGATTATCCAACCATAAACAGCAGGTTCCACCCCCGTTGGGTCCAAAATACTCACTGCGATTTTTTTTCCTTGTTTCAAAGATTACCCAATGGCATGTGTTAATATTTTGTAAAATATACAGTGAAATTTTAATACATGACCATTCTTTTCTTTTTCACAAGAATTCATTCCATATATTCAGTTTATCTCATCTTCCATCTTTCAAGCTTTCATTATCTTTTCCCCTCATCTTTTAATTCCTCACTCTGTGAGAGATTTTGGTGGGTGTGTTTAACTTACACAAGCTTTTAATTAACATAGAAATTTAATAAGATTTGGTTAATTTATGATTCACTTTAGCCATTTATTTAACCATAGCATAATTTTTTTAGATTTTTGTATAAAAAAATTATGAACTAAAATCATAATTTTAATAGTTTTGTGACATCCTTTTATCATTTAAAATAAACCTTACCATTGATTCCTTTAGAAATGAGCTTGATGGATATTAGATTGAGACTTTAATTTTTATTAATTTTCTTTAGAAAATTTGGAACTTATGAAAAAAAAACTAAAATTTTCTTATATTTAATAATTATAGCTTTTTTTACTTAAAAATTATATTTCTGAGAAATTTTATGTCTATACATGAAATTTTGATAAAAAATTGTAACGAAAAGAAAGAAAGATAAGAAAAAACAAGACATAACATAACGACGATACATGATAGACGATACATGATAGAGAAAGATAATATTATAAAAAATATTGTCGACTTTTTTTGCACAAATAAAATTTCTTGATTTAATAATTTTTATGGGTAAACAAAATAATATTATTGTTATGTGTGGTTTCTATTTTTATAAAACAAGAGAAAAAAATCGCAATTAATATACTTCTATTGACCAACAACTAAAAAAAGAATAATTTTATTTGTGAGTAGAAAAGCATTTCTTGAGACACACGTACTTGAAGAAACACGTGACTCAGCTGACATTTCTGCTGCTGAGTGTAAAATCAGACAACAACTTAAAGTACTGCTTTTGACGAATTTCTTGAGACCCACGTATGGCTTCAAGAAACCAGTCAAAGAAAAGAAACCAACTGGTTCAAGCAAGCGAATAACATTTAAAAATAGACACCAATTCCATTTTTCTTTTGCTTTCTCTTTTCCACGTTATATAATATTTTATATTTCCTAATGTCTATGATTAGCAAATGAGTGTCCTTGTGGATTATTTTTCTTACAGTTACCAAACAAGTTATCATTTGCATCTATGTACAAATAACTTCCCACTCAGCAAAAAACAACGATTTCATACCTTTTGCTACAGCAGACATGAATTGTCCACATTTTCTTGTTATGCCATATCCAATTCTAGGGCACATGAATCCACTCCTGCAGTTCTCTCAAGTTTTGGCTAAGCATGGCTGTAAGATAACCTTTTTGATCACCGAGTTCAACCAAAAGAGAATGAAGAATGCAATTGACCACTTTGGAACTCAGATAAAGTTTGTGGCACTCCCAGATGGTTTGGATCCAGAAGATGACAGAAGTGACCAGCCAAAAGTTATTTTGTCTCTCAGAAACACCATGCCTTGTAAGCTTCACAAGCTCATACAAGACACCAATGCTTTGGATGGTGATGATAGCAAGATCACTTGTCTGGTCGTTTCTAAGAACATAGCATGGGCCTTGGAAGTTGGACAGAAATTGGGAATCAAAGGGGCTCTTCTGTGGCCTGCATCAGCCACTTCATTGGCCTCTTTTGAGTCCATCCCAAGGCTTATTGATGAAGGAATTATTGACTCTGAAACTGGTAAGAACTGATTATTACAATTTTAACCTTTTAAATTGTAATATTTTAAGACGAGACAATATTATATTAACTGTTAAAAATTATTTTATTGACAACATAAAAAAGGTGTACACTATTGCATCACACGTGCAGATTCATCAGGTTTACTGTAATGATTTATTTTATTAAACAAATATTATTACATTGGCAAGAGCATACTTAATGATATTTTTTTATTATGCTTAAGAAACTTGTTTCGATTCTTTTTGGTAGACTAAAGTTTTTTTAGTGATAGTCAAACTCTGACTTGGCAATTCTTAATTTTCATTGGACCTTAATTGCAGGACTTCCAACCAGAAAACAGGAAATTCAGCTTTTACCAAATTCCCCTATGATGGACACGGCAAATCTTCCATGGTGTAGTCTTAGTAAGAACTTTTTCCTTCACATGGTGGAAGATACAGAAAGTTTGAAGTTAGGAGAATGGTGGCTTTGCAACACCACTAGTGATCTTGAGCCAGGAGCACTTGCCATGTGGCCAAGGTTCCTTCCAATTGGTCCATTGATGGAAAGTGACACAAACAAATGTTCATTTTGGAGAGAAGATACCAGTTGCCTAGATTGGTTGGATCAACATCCACCCCAATCTGTTGTGTATGTTTCCTTTGGAAGTATAGCAATAGTGGAACCAAAGCAATTCAAAGAACTAGCTCTTGGACTTGATCTCCTTAACAAGCCTTTTCTTTGGGTTGTACGTCCAAGTAATGATAATAACAAGGTCAACAATGCATACCCAGATGAATTCATTGGATCTAAGGGTAAAATTATTGATTGGTCTCCACAGAAGAAGATTTTAAACCACCCTGCCATAGCTTGCTTCATTACCCATTGTGGTTGGAATTCTATTATAGAAGGTGTTTGTGGTGGCATACCTTTCTTGTGTTGGCCATTTTTCAGTGACCAATTTATTAACAAGTCATACATTTGTGAGGTGTGGAAAGTTGGACTCGGATTAAACAAGGATGAAAATGGACTAATATCAAAGGAGGAAATAAGCAAAAAGGTGGAGCAAGTGCTTGGGAACGAAGACATAAAAGCAAGATCACTGAACCTGAAGGAATTAACCCTGAATAACTCAGTTATAGGTGGCCAATCTTCAAAGAATTTCGAGAAGTTTATCAATTGGGCCAAGCATTAAAGACACTTTTTGTTATGACAGTTCCCAAGTTGGATCCTTTTTTACTTTTTCTCTATTTCTGCATTTTTAAATTGAAAAAGACAAAAAGCATTCGGTGCTTTTTGACAATTTGATTTTCAGTAAACCACGCTAAAAATGTTCAGATCAGTTGAACAATTGAAGTCGTTCAATGATTTCCAATAGGTCGAATTTCACGTTTCCAATAAAACTTTTAAGATTATTGAATCAAATATTAATAATTTCACCAAATATTAATAATCACATTAAAAATTTATTTTGAGTCAATAATTTGTTTGAACACGAATAAAGCGTAAGCTATAATATAATCAACAAAAGAGAAAAAAAAAAAAAGAAAGAGAAAAACACATAGTGATTTATACTGGTTCGCATATAGTCAACCCTACATCTAGTTCTCAGTCAACTCTTAACACAAGAGTGACTCCCAATTCACTAGCATTCAAATTCAGTTTACAAATTACAATCAACTCAGCAGAAGAACCAGTAAAAAGTAAATTAATTAAAAAGACAATCACCTCCTTAGAAACCCACTAAAGATGAACACCTACCTAGAATCACACTAGGGATGAACACCTCCTCTGAACAAATCAAAGGATGAAAAAACACCTCCTTAGAATCCGATGAACACCTCCCTAGAATCACACTAGGGATGAAAATCTCTTTTGAACAAATCAAAGGATGAAAACACTTTCGTAGAATCCCACTAAGAATGAACACCTCCCTAGAATCACACTAGGGAAAACCTCCTTTGAACAAATCAAAGGATGAAAACACCTCCTTAGAATCTCACTAAAGATGAACACCTCCCTAGAATCACACTAGGGATGAAAAGTATCTCCTTTGCTACCAATACACAAAGGATGAAGGTAATAAAAATAAGAACAGTCACACCTGGGTAATGGAGACAACAAATTCTAGAAGCATGTAGAATGTCAATCTCTAAGAACAAGTGTGATTAACAATGAAAGCACAGAAGGCAGTAGAGAAGAGAGTTTTCTCAGAAGGTGTAAAATATCTCTATTGTCTTGCTCAGAATTCTTTTCTCAAAACTGATTGAATGTAAATTGTATTTTCGAATTTTGTAATTGTGTGTTTTTTATTTTTCATCAAAACTTAATTAAATAGAAAAATAGCATCAGAAAATGGTCGTTGGATATTAATATTTTCATGAATAAAAATCAGGATATATTTAAAAACATTTATTCTTCAAAACAAATATGTTTTTCAAATTTGAATTGTCATAATTGATTATGTTATCGATATAATTATGATAGAGAAAATCATTTTTTTAATTTCTGATGCATCATAATTGATTATGACAAAGAAAAATATCATGTTATGAATTTTATCACACTTGTGCTTTGGAGGCTTATGCATAATATTACTTCATCAACTTGTACCTCCATATCCAGTATTCTAAGACTTTATCTAATCTTCAGGAATCATCTTGGACTTGCTTGAATTATCATCTTTATCAAAAACATATCTTGGGCATGTAGGAAAATGTTTCACATTGTCACCAACGTCATAAATTCAGTTTGTCCTTAATTCATCTTGAATGGTGTTGACTTGAATATAATTGAGTTGAATCATCATCAAAATCATCTCTTGAAAATCTAGAGACATTTTCATCCCTCGTTACTTTCATCATGCGTCTTGGTAAAACGAGAGGAGGAGAATATAAGAGTTGATTTCAAATCACTTGATACAAATATGCTATATATACTCTCAATCATATATTGCTATTCCAAAAGTTGATATCTATACCATCATATTTCGGCAAAAACGATCAATATATAACACAATTTAATAATACAATAATAATAAATATTATAACTTAAATAATAATAATAATTATTATTATATTAAAATGGATTGTTGGAAAGATGTTGTGTTAAAGTTGTCTTCATACAAGTTTCCTATCACAAAGAAAAGAAAGACGTGGATGTTAAATATTTTTAATAATAATATTTTCTTTTTTAAAAGGAAAAAACGTTTTTTCAAATTTTTTATATTGGAGTTAATATTTCTTTAAGTAAGAAACTATTCCTTAAAATTTGAAAATTATTTTTTCCATAATAACTTGTAAGCAAGGATAGTATAATATTAATTATATTTTTAATGTGAATTGTTTAAAATTATTATAATTTTATTATTAAAGTAAAATTTAATATAAATTGCTTAATAACTATATGATATAGTAAAAAGTACAAAATAATTTTTTTAATATATAAAGAAACTTGTATTTAATTTGTGTTAACCAAAAATTTTAAATAAGGAGGACAATAAATAAAAATTAATTATCATATAAAAATAAATATATTAGATATTAATATTTATTGAATTTAAATTTTAGAAAATAAAATATTTTTTTTAAATAAATATATAATTTTATTTTTAAATATCTTTAAAATTCAAATTGAACTTATTTTTATTCATATTTAATATTAAAATAGAATATTATAAAATATTAAAATAATTAATTGATTTATAATAAATAAATAAAATTATATCAATATTTATATTTTTTATATTACATTAAATATGTTAATTTGTTATAATAATAAGTAAAAATAATAAAAAAATAAATTTGTTTTCTGTTTTTTACTTTAAAAAAATTATTGTGATGTATCTTTTTTTTTTTTAATTTTGTCTTATGTCTTTACATAAAAAAAATAAAATAAAAATTATAACTTTTATATTATAGAAATGAAATTATAAAAGAAAACAAAAACTAAAGAAAAAAAGTTTACAATTTTTACCATTGGTGGAAACATAAAAAAAAATATGAGAGTGAATGAATGATAAAAATAAATGATATAATAATATGAAAAGAAAAAATGAGTGTTAATAAAAAAAAGTTTAAAGGAAAAATGAAAAGGTGAAAAATATAAATTTATGAAAATAGAAAAAAATTATAAGAAAAAATTGTGTAAAGAAATAAATATAATATTTATTATGAATAAAAAATTAAGAAAAAAAAGTTTAAAAAGTTATATTTTAATATATATATATATATATATATATATATATATATATATATATATATATATATATATATATATATATATATATATATATATAACATTTGATTTGGGCGTGCCGTGACCCTGCGCCCCTTCCCTCCGTCCTGCTATGTGCCGTGCAGTGATGCTAGTTTTTTTAATTTGAGTTGTAATGCTTAACCTTTATTTAATTAATTTTATTTTTACTGGACTTTTATTCTAATACTAGGAACAATAATTTATTACGCGTATAAAATACTAGTAAAAACATTAATTTGTGTTGTATTTTTCTTTTGAGAAATATATTTATAACTTATTTCTATCCTACATGTTGGTTATTCCACATCTTGCCTAATATTTTTGTTTTCATTACATTCAATTTTGCTATATATCTAGAAAAAAAATTATGTCTTATTTATCAATTTTTTTACACAATGTGTATGATCTATTTGGATGATATGTAGAAAAAAAAGAGTATTTTCTTTAATTTTAATTATATTTTAAATTTGTTAAAAGTCTAACAATCCTATAAGTAGAGTTTCATGCATTTTCATAACTGGTGCAATAACATGTGGCTTGCTTTAATTGAAAATAGATAAATTCAGAAGCATGAAAATCTTACCATTAAAACTGTTTTCATACATTAATACATTCGATTGAATGTCTTATACATATTGAAATATACTCTTTTTTTAGAACAAATGAAATCTACTCTCTTATATCTAAACCATCTCAATTCACTCTCTTATATCTCTATCCCAATCCAAACAAATCTCCACCGCAATCCAAGCATAAGTTAAATGATATTTTATAATAATAATAATAATATTAAAAAAACATCTTATTTATGAAAGATTTTATAAAATTATTGTATACCTAAATATTTCTCATATTAAGAAAATCCCGAGTCAATTAATTATATTGTGCTACACACAATTTTATTACAATTGCATCAATACATGCAATTATTTTTCCTCTTTAAATCATGAAGAAATTTGGTTGCTAATTTGGGTAGCAATTGTGTGCCTAGAGCATTCTCCGACCACATCATCACCCCGACAAACTTGAAATTGACCAAGACTCCAAGCTCTTTAGGAAGTAAAATACACTTTCACATGGTCCCAACCCACTTTTCCATTCTTCTATCCCCCATCGATCACTCTCTTGTCTCATGTCATCCTTTTCCTTGACCCTTACACGGTGGTTCTACGTTGACCAATTTATTAGCATTTAAAAAATATAAAATATAGAGTTGAAGATAAAAATACGATTGTTTAAGATACTCGAGAGATTAAATTCATTATCTAGTTATAAGAGTTATGTAAAAATTTATTTGTAAATAAAAATTAACTAAATTATTTAACTAATAAAAATTTGTAGGATGAATATGAATTTTTGTCACTTAGATTGTAACGAGTAAACGTAGGATGCCATTTTTTTATATAGCCCAATGTCATTTGCTTGAGTTACTTTATGTGGATATACTTTCTTATGCACAGATTTTATTTCATAAAATTGTTTTATTTTATCATATAGATATCCTCTATTTAAATTAGAAAAAAATATGAGAAGTAAAAAAAATTAAAAAATGGGAAGTTTAAAGACTTTTAAAATAATCCAATTTTTTCTTATTAAATTATCGTATTGTTAAATAGAATTTCAGATTATTTTATTTTTTATATTTTCACCCACTTTTAGTTTCCATTTATTTCTTATCAACAATTATAATTTTCTGTTAAATTACAACTATTAAATATTATAAGAAATATTAAATTATAATATATAAATGAAATTTAATCACTATAATAAATATAATTTTTAGTGACAAAATTTAAATGATAAATAAAAATTTATCATATTATATATATATATATATATATTATTTGTGACAAAGTTTTAATTTATCACAAATATTATTATATTAGTGATTAAATTAAAAATTTATCATAAATGCTATTATATTAGTGACTAAATTAA